TATAACAAATATAACAAAGAGTGAAAAATTTAAGGGGGTCTGAATACTTTCCGTACCCACTGTATATATATTATATTATTATATATTTATATATATATAAAATGTATAAATAGGTATTACATTTAAACTTTAATATTAATTAAACTAAACAAATTCAAATGTAATATATTGCAGCCTTAGTGAGCATAAGAGACTTCTTTCAAAAAACCCAACCCAAACATTTGAACAATACGTATACATATATACTATACTGTATATATATCCAGTATATGTGCTGCACTGAGCATCTGCTAGCATGTAGCATGTAGGTTTTGTAGTCAGTGCAAACACTGCACACCTGGTCCTAATAACCAGCGCTTACATGTGTTTAATGGAGCTGAATCAGAGTGGGTTAGGCTTGAGTTATAGCACACATATAAACAAGCTTTCTGTGGGCCGCCGTGCTCTTGTCTCTGCATGGCGCGTGTGTTTTCTGTGCGGTTGTGATTCATCACATAAATTGGATTATTAATTCTGAAGTTAAAATGGAAGCAGAATCTGTGGGTTTGAACGGCGAGCCATGTCAAACAAATCTCTTTGAAGAGGTTCCTCTGCGACACAGGCCTGAATAAAAGTCCCGCTGGGACGTCATACTTTACATTGGAGTCAAAAATCGCATCGTTATGAATTGATAAATCTCACAGTTACTACATTTGTGCATTTGGCAAAAGCTTTCATCAGAAGTGACTTACAATGCATTCAAGGTTTAGTTTTGTATGTTTTTTGGGAAACTGAGCTGCAAGCTGTTAGTTATATCCAAAGCAACTCTAGCTGAAACATATTCACGTCCCACTTTAATGGAAAAAATCTAGGGCAAGACTTGATTTTATCAGAAATTAAGTAAAAAGATTAATTTGGGATGCCATGAATTCATACATGTGATAAGTTGTTCGTATTAAAATCAGGAACATGCATTAAGAATGGGCTGATTTGGATTTCATGTTGACTTTTAATAAAAACATTTTTAAAAAACATTGAAAAGACTTAAATTTTTTTAAAACCTAGTAATATTGTGACACGTTGGCTCTGTTCTAAACTCAAGTGAGCTAAGTAAACAGCACTTGTAGACTGCAAATTTATGCTGAATTACTTGAAAACTCATTTTGGCCCAAATTATTTTTTTTTTATCATGCAACCCCATAATGCATTGCAACAAGCACAAAATGTGTCAGAAAATATTATAAATATTTATACATATACTAATATAATGCTTATGTAATATTTATAAGTATTGACAGAAGTATTCTTTTTAATTTATTTTTATCTATTATTTATTTATTTTCTGCTATTGAAAAATTGCAAAAGAAATTGTCAAAAGAAAATAGTGTCATGCAATAAAAAATGACAATTACAGTTATATATTTATATTCTGTGTATATACGATCATTTATAATTATAAAAATATATAAATTGCTCTATTTTCTAATGATACTTTTAATTTGTGAAAAAAACACATAGATAATACTTAATTACTTATTGTAATACCGATATTATGTAGGCAATACTAATATAATGCTTAAAATATTTATACATGTAACTATTTATAATATTTTTCTGCACTCTGTCACATTTTGTGTTTAGTATATATAATAAAAAAGTAAATTAATAAAAATAACAAAAGACGTAACAACTGAAAATATTAAAAAAATATATAAGCTTATTCAAAATATCAATAAAAACTATAACAGTATATAAATAATACTAAAATAACACTGATGTCAGACTTATCAGATATTTGTATATATGAATAATCGTCACCAATGGAGTTATGATCAACTCTGGTTCATGATGCTTTTGGGAAACGCAGCCCTTATCTTTTGAAGTATTTAGTTTGCTGTATTATCCAAAAACATTCTTGCATGATTATGATTGACTTTTTGTTTTTAACTAAAATAACTATATTCTGGTCAGATTTTGGTCACTCTGCCGATGCACAAATGTCCCAGTTTTACCGCACCACCACACTTACGGTTTAAGAGTAAGATGGAAAAATGCTGATGCAGCTGTTAGTCTGAATAAATAACGTTTATCTGCAAGTAAACGAAAACTGCTGATCATGTCAAAACAAGTTAAAGCTCATTAGTACTGGTATTCACAACAGGCCTGGTATAACGTCTCTTCAAAGAGAAAGTTGAAAGGTCACGATTTGTGAGTAAAGCGATTTAGCGCGACCTTATTAGTAATTCCAAACTGTATTAGAAACATATTCCCGTAATTCCGTGGATCTGTTTTTTCCCACATAGGCAGCATCCTGACTGAAATCAAACCACATAAGTGACTGGTGTTCCTAAGCTTATATATATATATATATATATATATATATATATATATATATATATATGTATATGTATATATGTGTATATATATGTAAATGTATTCATTATATGTAATATAATTAGTATATATCATTTATATAATCATTTATTTATTTGTTTTATTTCAGTTTTAGTAATTTTAGTAATTAGTACAACTTTACTTGCTTAAGTTAGCTGCCAAGGCTAGCCTGTTTTATTTTTATATTTTTTTATTCCCCCCAATATTTTATTTCAGTTTTATGTCAGTTAACAAAAATGATTTAATAATTTCAGTTAACAACAGCAACACTGCCTGGCATCAGATTAAAAACAGTTTCACAGCATGAAACACTCGAATTAAAAACTAAATGTTTTCATGAGCTTCATCCCAACAGCTGTGTGGCCCGGAGATGTCTTTAATTATACAGAAGGGATGAATGAGTTTACCAGTTATTTATGTGATTATGAAATCAGCATAATCCTCTTGGCTTGATTTCTTATAAATGAGTGTTTCCTGTTAATATCGTTGCCGCAAGTTTGTTCCTCACACTCATAAGGAAGTGGTGTGGAAGGAGAGCATAGAAAGCATGTGTGCGTGTGATCAGCCCGCGGAGGCGGTTCAAAGCACATCAGATGAAATGATGTTCCCATATGGAGCTTTAATGGGAATGATTAGGAATGACGGCTGACTAAATTAACTCGTTTTGCGTTGACAGACATGGGTTTGATTCACAGCAGCCACAAGAGAGAACAAAGCTGTCGGCTAATGATAGAGATCTTACAAAATGTCAAAAGTCAGAATGCATGTTTAGTTTGGGGTTACGAAGATTTTTCTCATGTTTTGAAAGAAGTCTCTTGGGCTCACTGAGGCTGTGCTTTTTTTTTTAAATACAGTAAAACAGTAATATTGTGAAATATTTTTACAAATATTAATAAAAATATTCTTATATATTTCAGTGCAAAGCTGAATTTTCAGCATCATTACTCCAGTCTTCAGTGTCACATGATCCTTCAGAAATCATTCTAATATGCTGATTTGCTGCTCGAGAAACATTTCTGATTATTATCAGGATTGAAAACAGTTGAGATGCTTCATATTTTTGTGAAAAACAACGATGACATAGAAATTAAATATAATTACATGATATGTATATCATACATTTTAAAAGTAGATCGATTTAGCTCGACCTTATTAGTAATTCCAAACTGTATTAGAAACATATTCCCGTAATTCCGTGGATCTGTTTTTTCCCACATAGGCAGCATCCTGACTGAAATCAAACCACATAAGTGACTGGTGTTCCTAAGCTAATGACTCAATAGTCTGCATAAAAAACATTACACACACAAATATTGTTTCATCCTAATTATGTAATATTATTGAGTAATTTTTTTTATTGCTTAACACTATTATCTATTGATATGTTCTGACCACGTCTGCACGTTTGATTTCATATTTATATAAATTAAAATAATTAATTTTTATAATTTATTATAAATAATTAATACAATCATATATATATATTAGGGCTGTCATCTTTAACGAATGCAATCAATTTTACAATCCTTAACGCGTTAAAATAATTTAACGCAATTAATGCAAAATTACTGAAGCACAATTTCTATTCTAACCCTTTAACCCAATTTTGCTTCTCTGCTT